CCTAGAAGAGCCTACTTTTAAAGTGAAATAACGAAAGTATTGATCAGCAGTGCACCAGAAGCCATTTTCCCACTTTTCTCTATTTCCATTTCTCTTTTTCCATCTTCCAAAGCTCCATTTTCTCTTGTCCTCATGTAATCAATTTTCTACCTTGCTTAAGGCATCCAATGCCTTCCTGATGCATTTAGGGTGCAAAAATCTGTGCACAGTCATTTGTCTTCTTTAGAGGATCTACTTCTAAATGAAATTATTTATTTACTCTCTTATTTACTTTCCATATCCTGTGCAGCCACCTGTCCCTCTAAATTTAAGCTCCACATGAGGAGGAATCTTGTCTGTTCATTGAAAACCAGGTTCTAAGCACCTGGAGAATTGTCTGGAACAAAATACATAGAAGTCTTCAAAACATTTCAAGGACATCTTCAGGCAAGACCTGAAAAGTAGGCTGCAAACCTATAAATCGCGACGAAGCACCATGTTCACTGCGCTCCTACATCTGCCTTTCTCCAAAAGCCCAGTGAGACTCACAGACCTTTTTATGTTTGTACCATGGCCCTTTAGGGTTGCCTAGTGAATTCTATGAATTCCTGCTTTGAATGATGCTTAAATGCACTATTTTTTTAAAGGAAAGATTAAAAAAGAAGACAATTATGCTGATACGTTTAAATACTTAAAAATTTTAAAGTTGTGATACAGTAATAGATGGACTTCTTTGTTGCTGTGTTAAAACATGAGAGCTAAGAGAGGCCCTCAGACAACCATTCTTCTGAGAGCAGAGACGTTTACAAACAATATTTTGAGATGTCTGCCACAACTATAATGAGAAATGAAAATACCCGCGATTTCTATTGGTGCCAGTGTCACAGGGACTGCTAACAATTCTGACAGTTGTTTCCCATAGTCTCGATTTAAGAAAGTGCTAAATTTCCATTAGATGTTAATAACACAAAACAGACACATTTTCCCATACAAGTTCACAGAACCCTTGAATTCGGTACACAGAGGTCTGTGGGTCCCTGGGTCCCAGGTGAAGGAAGGGCCTGGACTTGGCCGTGAGGGACAACACACACTGAGGGAGCCAGGCCTGTGAGTCTCAGCTACAAGTGCATTCCCAGCCCCATCTGAAGCCTCAAGTGAGACCCTAGTCTTAATTTTTTTTGCCTGGCAACTGATGGTACTTATTTACTTGTTTGTATTTTAAATTGTCAGAAAAATAGAAAAAAATCAAAGCTCCACCATTGTTGAATCGTTTAAAAAATATAAAACAATATGTGAGAGTTATTTTCTTCCCTGCCGATACTAATTCCAAAGAGATTCCCATTAAGAAGTGGTGACTGTCATGCCCGACTGCTAAGCATGCTGATGTATGTGCACCAAACATTGACAAGAATGGAATGTTTTTGAGCAAGATCATATGCTCCTCCTGGCTTTTTTTACTTAATACTATATTCTAGACTCTTATTTTTCCTCTCAGATCACATTTCCTTTTGCAAGTGACTGCTTGGTCATTGTACAAATGCACCACAGTGTATTGAAATGTTCTTACATGTGCTTTAATTCTCCACTACAAATTATCAAGTACCCTGTAAATGTGTGTGCACATTTGTATGTACCCTTGCTGGTATTCTGACAAAGTAGATTCCTAGACATGGGTCAAGGAGTATGCTTACTTTAGATTGTAATATAGATTACAAATTACTTAGCAAAAGGGACCTTAATTTTCCCTCAAGTAGGTGTTTATTTTCTCACACTCTTGTCCAAACTGGATACATAGCCAATTATCCAGCTATCAAATCAGCAAAAATTATGAGTGTGTGTATCACTGTATGTACATATAGTGGTAAAAATATTTATCTGTTAATTTGATAGGTGAAACTCTTATCTTCCTACTTTAATTCATTTACTTCATCTTGCTTATTGGTGAAGTTGATCATCTCTTCATAGCTTTATTGACCAATTATATTTCTTCTGAAAATTGTCTTTAAATTAATAATCTTCATTAGTACTCATACTGGGTATTATCTTTTACATATTAATATATAGATGTTCTTTTTACAATGTATTGAAGACTGTAGCCTTTTAATGGTTGTGGATGTAACAAATACTCTTTCCCTAGCTCTGTCTCTGTCTCTGTCTGTCTGTCTGTCTCCCTCTCACTCTCTCGCTCTGTCTCTCTCAGCTCTTGGGTCTCATTTAAATGCACAAACACTATTCCTTAGCTGAAGAGGCCATTTGACCCCTGCCGCTCAGACTCTCAGAACAGTAAGTTCCCTATCCCGAGTGGAGACATGGTCTTAGACAGGATAATGGTAATATTCCATCCTCCTCCAGACTGTAAAGATTCTGAAGCTCTGAGCGTGACCACATTACTGGGAGAAATGAAAAGCTGAATGGATGGGACTCTTAGGGAATCACGTAGAAGACATTTTCAATAGAAAGCACCTAATACTGGCACAGTTCACAAAACCCAATTATGAATAATTGGCTGTGCTGAATGAGGTCAGCCCCACCATGGTCTGATGAGATGAGCAGGTCATTAGAGTTGTCTAGCTGCTCAAATAAAGGAACTGGGTGAAATGCTGCAAGAAGAATCAGATACATTAGCATTTATGTTTGGGTTTTAGATTGTTGGATGAATTGAAAATTTGTATTTGGAGATTTATTTCTCTATTCTTCTATACACACTTATATAAATTATTTTGCCTCATACACAAGAAGATGACATTAATGCTCTAATGAGATTTAAATGTCGGTTGACACGTTCCTTTGTTTATCCGTACATCTGCCTGTGCAAGCTACTTACATGGTAGTTCTGAGTGGCACTTGTGTAGCTATCATTCTATTCATCTCAAGTTGTCTGTTACCCAAATAAAAATAAATCTCCTCAGGCATCAGTGTGGGAGTTTTGCCTTTGAAATATAGTAGTAAACTGGCTGCCTTAGCATCTGTGGAGTTCAGCTCATTCTGTCACCTTCCGGAATTATAATTCCTCATTTAGCACCTTAGAAAAGTAGTGGTAGAGAGAAGGGGAGAAAAGAGATGGCTGATCAAAGAACTTATGGTGTTACAAAATGAATTTTCATGTCTTTGCTCTTTTTTTTTTTTTTTTTTTTTTTTTTCATGTCTTTGCTCTTCTTCCCTCTGTGTGAACAGGTGCTGCATTTTGTAAAATAAAAAGAAAGAGCTATGTTTTTAAAAAGTTGCCTATAAGATGAATTTCTATGCAGCACATCATAATAATGCATTGACTTCTATAAAATTAAAGGTATGTTTTTCAGGGTGAAAATATTGATCCCTGCATCTTGAAACCCGCACTTGATTGTAAGTGCGTTTTAAAAGCACAAACTAAAAAAATTTTAAATAAAACATGAGGATTAAATCCGAGAATGAATTACAGAATGAAAATGCAAAGGAGCTTGGGTCATTTTTGCATTTGAAACAAGAAGCTGAAAATTTAAAAGAAAAATAACAGCACCACCGTAGTGAACAAAACATGCCAGGGGCAGAATTAACAACTGTCTTATGAAAGACATTTTTCATTTTTAAGCAGAGTGTGCCTGTGTGTACAAGATGACAAAATAATCAAATAAAGAGCGAACTGCTGTGCTCATCAACAGGTTGTTTCGTGTTGAATTGATGCCGTGCCAACTGCTTGGTTTAGATCTCATTCCCTTTTGAATATTTGTCTTAACAAATTCTTTCCAAAGAAGAAAAAAGCTGAGCTCCAGGAAGAAAAGCCTAGAGCTTAGACTCCAAAATCCTGGATTCTTTATCTGGTTTTTGTCTCTCTGAAAAAATTAGTTGAGGTTTCTGAATCTTCATTTCCACATCTAGAAGTGTAAGACATTCTTGCCTCAAAAGGTTGGGGTGTAAGGATAGAATAAAATCAATCACAGAAAAGTGTATGTTGAGGGCCCAGGAACGGCTTGGGCTCTGGTCTTTTATAGCGTGCTGTGTATTTTATGAACACTTCTGTACTTCTACTTTTACATTACACTAATAGTTTATACATAACATAAAAGGAGGACCATGATATAGGCAGAACCTCAGCCCTCCCAGTGCCGAGCCAAACGGTGTCTTCAGGCCAAAACGAAAGCTTGACTCCCACTAGTATCATTCAAAGAACAAGTAAATTTTAGTCGTTTATTAATTCATGTAATAAAATACCCTTTGTTGCCTGCCCGTCATGTTTTATTTTCATGCTGAGTTGGTTGAGCAGGCCTCTGTTCTCTGTGGTATTATGATCTATTTAGGAAGGTAAATGAGAAGCATCAAAGTATATAAAATGTCATAATGCTGCAATGGGGATCGGAACAAAGTGTGGGAAGGAACTTATAGCATCTCTGAAAAGTGTCATGTAGTTTCACAGTAAACAAATGGTTTTGGTAAAGATTAGAAAAAAAAAGATTTGGTTACCGTGGAATCATATTGATCTCCTTTTATAAAAATGTATATGCTTGGGGCTGGGGATTTAGCTCAGCGGCAAAAGCGCCTGCCTGGCAAGCGCAAGGTCGTGAGTTCGGTTCCCGGTACCGGAGAAAAACCAAAAAAAAAAAAAAAAAATGTATATGCACACATGTGTGTATGTCTGTATCTTTCCATTTTTCTGACTTATTTTTCACATTGGATAATTCAGAAAAAGCTTTATTAGAATCTTGTGTGCCCTAACCTAGCTCCCACATGAACACTGATACCAAGTTTTTGTACCAGACACAAAAGACAGGAAAGCAGCTAAATGGGATCCTTTCTAAGATGCAACTACTTTTCATGTGACTAATCTCATGGCTCGGTCAAATAAATGCATCTCTGTGTTGATTATATTAATTTATACAGCTTAGATGCCTGCTTTTTAAGATATAAGGAAGATAAAAATTTTTAAAAATCAGCCACAGTGTATAAGCTATATGTAATTTGTATTCCTACATTCCTATTGTTTGACATTCAGAATAAACCACAACCATAAAATTCTTGAAATCCCCAGATCCTAATTACCTTTAATATTTGACTCTCTAAAATATGTGACAGTTGCTAAGCTTATCTGCTCTTAGACAAATTTACTTACTAAGAAGATTTCATAAAAAGCAATTTAATTCTGGGCCTCTTAAGGATACATACAAAATGAAAGGAAAGCATTAAATTTTTTATTTCATTCTTTCTGCTGGCTTCACGCCTCTGGTTTTACTTTTTGATCCACAGGTATTCTGAAGGCATTGCTGGGTAGAAATGATTTTATTGTTCCACCTCTGCCCACCACATGTTTAAGATCTGATATGGTGTGAGGAGATAGAGGGTAAATGCAAAGTAAGGGGTGACTGAATCTAGAGTCACTAAGAAGTTGCATGTCCCCATTTACCTTCTTTCCCATTCCAGGCAGTTGTAGCTCCAGCAAGAAAATGAGCAGAAATAGCCCAGGAGTAGGTCCTACAAGAGTAGAGGGTATAAACGACTTACATATAGACATTACACATCTTATCAAAAGTAGTGTTATACAGTCAGAAAAGAAGTCCAGAAATGTGAGCAATTAGCTGGGAATTTGTTAGTTTAGAAGAGAAATTTTTTTTAAGCACATGCTAATAAGCCCAGCACTCTGGGAAGCTGAGGCAGGAAAGATTGCCAAATTCAAGCTCAGCATGGGCAACTTAGTGACTTAGCAAAACCCTGTATCAAAATTTAAAAATTTAGAAAAGGGCTGGGAATATAACTTAGTGTGAGGGTCCTGGGTTCAATCCCCAGTACAGAAATAAACAAACAAAACAACACCCCCCTCCAACCAACAGTTTTCATTGCAATTTACATAAGAACAATTATCAACCAGTCATGAAACTTGTGAAACAACCTGAACTATCTTACTTCACAGCTAATTAAAGTTCTCTGATGAATGCAAAACAAATAACCTCCCCACAAATATCCTGGTAATACATTCCACAGGGGTTTCTTCTTGCATTGTAATAAAAAATACACTGTCAAGTCTAATAAATTGATGAAAAATCAGACAAACTTGATGAATCCTTGAGCACAATCATACAGACAGGTGAAGTGCAAAACTGATTTCCAGATAAAGGAGAGCACTTGTTACTTTGCACTCACTGATTAGAAGAGACTTACCTTACTAGGTGTTTGTAGGAGGAAAGCCCAAAGACCATCTTGTGTAGGTTCAGTATCCTTCCCTTATCCACAGTTTCTGTTACCCTAAGTCAACTGTGCTCTGAAAATATTAAATGGATAATACCTGATATAAGCAATTCAAAAGTTTTAAATAGCTTTTATGATAATATATTGACATCATTGTTTTGTTAGTTATTGCTGTTAATCTCTTACTATGAGCAATGCATAAGGAAACTTTGTCATGGGTATGTACACACAGGGTTTGGTACTATTCACAGTTTTAGGCATCCACTGAGGGTCTTGAAAGTTATCCCCTAAGGGGAAGGGGGCAGGTACTGTGGTTACCTTGGAAATGTAATCGCAGCAAATAGGAGTACGGAACAAAAGAAGAGAAACAGGGATCGGACAAATGAGTGAAAGGAAGCCTGAGCCTGGAGTGGTGGTGTACATCTGTAATCCCAGCACTCAGGAGGCTGAGGCAGGAGGATCACTTCGAGTTTGAGGCCAGCCTGGATTACAAAGTGAGCTCAAGGCCAGACTGAACTGCATAGCAAGACCCTGTCTCAAAAAGAAAAAAAAAAAAAGAAAGGAAGCCTTTTCTAGTTGACTGTAGACAACTGAAGCTTGTGATCGCAGGATCTTTTGAGGAACCCAGCAGATGTACTTGAGAGCTGTCAGAAGATGAGGCAAGGGGAAGCGTGTTATTCATTGGCTCTCACTCTACACCAATCAAGGGTGAATTTATGGGTGCTTGCTCCAGGGACTTTTAGATTGTGAAAGTGTGAGTGACATTAGTTCTACAAATGTCTTAAGCTAAGTGTCAGACAGTGGAAGGGAACTCCTGCTCGCTTGCACCTGCTAGAGCTGCTGTTCAAAGCTTCAGGGATGCTGGCTGTAGCAGCTATGGTTAGATAAGAGGTAGGAGTAAAAGGGTTTGAGTCTGCACAGGCATTTTCTGATGTAATGAAAAAAATACAATATCTCTAAACATTAAAGCAAACAAAGCCATTTCACAGTGAATACAGTCAGTACCCAAACCAGTACTGAGATGTCCTATGGAGGATGTTTAATAAACAGAAAGTACAAAAAGTAGATGTGGAGTGAAAAGAACCTGCACCTTCTGGCAGTGTAAACTTGAGCAAGTGAATTTAGATTTTGCTGATGTCCGTTTTCTATCTCCAGGAGTGGGGGTAAGTAACATCCTCCTCACGGGATTCTTGAATGCTAAATGGCATGAGGAATGTACAAGCATGGTTAGCATTTTGAAAAATAGGTTCTCATAATAATAATAATTATCAGCCATCCATCAAAGATGGCAGAAGGGCAGTGTGGAGCGGCCCTCCCATTGTTAGTGGATATAGATTTTGTTTGCCCAGGACCAGGAGGAAGAGAGAGAACAAAGGAGGCAACAGCTGGTGGGAGCCAGTGGAGGAGCTTTTCTCGACCCTGGGGGACTGCAGATTGTGCAGAGCAATCAAAGCCAAGTTGGGAGTTGGGGGTCAGATGTCACACTGAGGCCAAAGGTCAAGTGTGAGGACTTCTGGTGAAAAGCTAGGGAACAGAATGCTCAGAGGCCGGAGCTTCAATCCCTGCTAAGGGTCAAAGACAGGCGAATGTTTCTGCCAGCAGACATGCTGCCCCATTAGGGAGCTGAGCATGGATTCCCTGCCCCCCGGAAAATGAATAGCTGGTTTCCTAGGCATGGTCAGCCAGCTGTCTGAGGGATCAAAGGTGCACAGCCCTGCAAATGATCAAATCCTGCAACAATTAGCACGACATTTCTAATAAAATTATCATGCATTGAATCCTAGAAATCATCTTCTATTCCCAAAAATGCATACTACTTGAAGAGTTCTTGCTTAATTTACAAGTATGATTAGTTTTCACAATTTCCTTTGAATTTCCTGCATCTTTCTGTCCTGGTCCTATATCTTTTTTTTTTCTTTTTCAGAGCAGAGTATATTTACTGAGGGAAAGAAAGCTTCTGTCCAAGAGAGGGACAGAAGGGGGGCCTGAGTGAGTTACCCAAGACTCTGTCTTTTCTAGGAACTTATATAGAGCAAAACCACAAGGTGATGGTCCTATACCTTTAAATTGGTATTATGATCAGAATTCACTGAAAGTAAGCTCCTTCATCCCTATATCTCTAAATATCCTATGTCTTAAAATGCTTTATTTTGTTCCATCATTTACATATTACATCTGTCCCTACATCCACTCATTCAATAGTCAATGAACCAGTCATTTCACCATTTAACCAGATTTTCTTTTTTCTTTTTGAGACAAGGTCTTGCTATGCAGTTCAGTCTACCCTTGAACTCATGTTCTAGCTCAGGCTGGCCTTAAACTCACAGCAATCCTCCTGTCTCAGCCTCCTGAGTTCTGGGATTACAAGTGTGTGCCACCACACCCAGTTACCAGAAGATATGGATTGTCTGTCTTCCACATTACTGTCCCAGTGGCTTGTTAGAGTAAAATGAGAAGATATGCGTACAAATATCTGGCAAATAACATATACTCAGTACGGGGCCTGAACTGTTCCATATTTTTGTTTCCGTATTGTCAGTAGTTTATATATAGCATATAAGGAAATAAGTGTGAGGAGATATCTCATATTTTAAAAGGTCCTAATTTTGTCTGAAAGCTAATCATGTTGATGACCTTCTCATATGTTTAATTGCCATTTGATATCTTAGTGAAATCTCTCTTTCTAGTTTTTGCTCATTTTGCTAATTGAAATGTTAACTATTCACTATTACTATTAAGTTTTGGAAGTTTCTTACATATTCCAGATTCAAGTGCACTGTTGGCTATGTGGTTTGCCACTATTTTCTTCATTTTGTTTGTCTTTTTGAGACAGGGTCAGGCTGGCCATGAGCTCACTTTGTAGCCCAGGCTGGTCTCGAACTCGAAACAATCCTCTTTCCTCAGCCTACTGAGTGCTGGGATTACAGGCAAGTGCCACCATGCCCGGCACAGCTATTTTCTTCCCGTAACTTGTTTTTTTGTCCTCCTAGCAGGGTTTTTCAGAGAGCAAAAGACTGCACTCTGATTAGACCCAATTAAATATGATTTATTCAGGTTTTTTTTTTTCTTTTATGGAATTTGCTTTTGGAATTACATCTAAAAATTCTTTGCCTAGTCGCAGATCCTGGAGATTTTTTTCTACGTGTTGTTTTAAAAGTTTTAACTTTGGTTTGTTCAAGTGTACTGTGCACTTTGAATTAATTTTTGCAGTAGGCATGAGGGTCGGATGGAGGTTGAATTCCTGCCTGTGAATGTGCAGTTGCTCCAGCATCATTTATTGAGAATCCTCTTTCTTTTATGTAATTGACTTTGTTTCTGTGCCTTTGTGGGGAGCTATGAGGCATATCTGTGTAGGTCTATTTCTGCTTTCTCCAGTTGGTTCCAATCATGTATGTGCTTGTTCCTTTGCCAATATCATGCATTCATAATTATTATTACTTTATGAGAGTTTAAAATCAAGTGGATGATTTTGCCAATGTTGTTTTTCAAAATCAGTTTAGCTCTTTAGTTTCTTTGCCTTTACACATAAATTGCATCAATAATCCTGTCTATATCTACAGAACTCTTGCAAGGATCCTGATAGGAATGTCACTGAGCCCATATATCAATTTGATATTAGTACGCTGAATCTTTAAACATGTAAATACAATGTCTCCCCTCTTAATTAGGTCCTCTTTGATATCTTCAGCACTGTTGTAATTCTTAACACATAAATCCTGGACAATTAACTGCATCATTTTGATTGATTATAAACAGTATTGTACTTTTAATTTTGATGTTCCTCTTTTAATTGCTAGTGTATAAACACACTGATTTTTGGTATTCTGTAATCTTACTAAATTTATTTGTTTTCAGGATGGTCCTTTTCTTTTGGTTTTAATTTGGTCTTTGTGTTGCATAGGACTTTCTACACAGAGAAATCATGCCATCTAGGAATAAGAGAAGTTTTATTCCTCCCTTTCTGAACTGTTCATTATTTATTACCTGTTTAAGAAATAACTATCATAAATATCTCTTCACCGTACAGTTAGAATCACATAGGACAATGTTACAAGTTTTGCTTCAACCAACAAACATAATTTAGAAAACTCAAGGTAAGCAAAGTCTATTGCATTTCACTATACTTTTGCTTCATTCAAAAGTTATATGCAAAAATTTTTGCATGTTTCCTTCCTAACATTCCAACAGTCATCTTTTACCATTTCCTGTTAGGAAATTTCCTGTAGCAATTCTTTCAGGAAAGGCTATCTGAGGACACATTCTTGGTTTTTCTTCATTTGAGAATTTCTTGATTTTCTTTCCTTCTTACAAGATACTTGCACTATATTCAGGATTCTGTATTAACAGTTTTCTTAGCACTTGAAAAATGTTTTATAATTTCCTTCTGTCCTGAATTTTGTCTTTTTAAGACAGGGTCTTGCTATGCAGTTCAGGCTAGCCTTGAGCTCACTTTGTAGCCAGGCTGGTCTCAAACTCGCAATGATCCTCCTGCCTCAGCCTCCCAAGTACTGGGATTACAGGCGTGTGCCACCACACCCAACTGTCCTGAATTTTGATGAGAAATCTAGTGTTGAAGCTGTTTTTCTCCTACAGATAAGGTATCCCTTCTCTCTCACTTCTTTTTTTTTTTTTTTTTTTTTTTTTTTTTTTTGGTTTTTCTCCGGTACCGGGAACCGAACTCACGACCTTGCGCTTGCCAGGCAGGCGCTTTGCCGCTGAGCTAAATCCCCAGCCCCTTCTCTCTCACTTCTTTCAAGACTTTTTTCTTTGTCTCTAATACAAGTTTGACAATGATGTACTTTGGTGTAGATTTCTTTGAGTTTATTGTGTTTGGGATTAACTCAGCATCTTGAGTCTATAGATGATGTTTCTTTGCCAAATGTTGTGTATTTTCATCTGTTATATGTTTTTCTTTTTTTGCCTGAAACTCTTCCTCCTCTCCCCCTAGCACTTCAGTGATAGAAATTTTGGATCTTCTGGTATAGTCCCCTATGACCCTGGGATTCTGTTTATTTTGTTCTCAGCCTATTATACTTTCATTCTTTATAAGTTTGTTTTATTTTAAAAACAGAAGCATGAATTCAAACAATCAAAAGGTAAAACTATGTCAAGCTCTTCCTGATGAATAGGATTAGGAAGCACTGAACTTTAGCATAGACACCTATGAATTTCAGCCCAAGACTTTGTGGGCCAGTTGATAGGATGAACTTGGAGGAAGCTGTTACAGTTAGAGCCCAAGTACCTTAAAGAAAAACTGTGCTATGTTTATAATTTCAATCCACACTATAGAGTAGGTACTATTGTTATTATCATTTTACAAAAGAGAAAGAGCTGAAGCTTAAAAGAAGCAGGGTCCCTTGTAAAAGCAAGTTATGGTGAAGAGAGCCTTTGAACCAGGAGACACCCATGAGATTGCGCCTCCGGGCCTTCCAGCTGAAAATGCATTATTGATCAAAGGCACTGAAACCTAGTGCTGGAAGGCAGTGACAGACAGGTCCATTCCTGAATCATACGGGGTTTTATGACAGCTAACTTGCCGTAAGGACTCCAGATCCTTACCAAACCTCCATTTTCCTTCCTTGTAGTCCAGGATTCTTCAACCCAAGCTTCTCTCCTTCCTTGGGATCAGGCATGAGTCACTGAGGATGGCTCCTTCTGCTTTCCCAGTTTCCACCGCCATTTTCTCCAGCACAGTCATCCTCCGCCCAACCCCAAATCCTTGCATGTTTGACACTGTCTTGGCACGTTTCCTGGAAGACCCAAATAATACAACCAGGTAATATGATTTTTAAGAGCCTAAGCAATTGACCATCACGCCATATGCGGTAAAAAGCAAGAAGTATATCTGTAGGCTTACTTGGCATTCTATGGAGAAGATTAAGTAAAGCGTGGGAAAATTTCATAATCTTTTTTATTTGAATGCAAATAAAAGTTGTCCTTGTTATATAAGTTCACACAGCATGGTTTGCCCCAGGTGCTGCTGTACTAAGCTCTTGGCCTGAGTGTAGATCATCTCTAATTTATCTTTTAATGTAATGATTGCTTTCTCATGAGAAGTGCAGACTTATGGCTGTAATTTTTACAATACGTAACCAAGCACATGATTTATCAGGCATGTTAGTGACATGACAACTCTGAGCTGTTCTTTACCCAAATAAACTGAGATTTGGCAATAACTTTGCAAAAATTGATGTAATTTGCACGCTAGCAATTATCTCGTTCATCACCATCCCAATTTTCTCAGTTGTCTCTAAAGAAGGGTGTGGAGAGTACTTGGAAGACTGATAATAGACTGCACAACCAGTCGTACCTGTCCACATCAATGGTAATTGAAGCTCTCTTGTTATCATCTGAGCCTCCTCAGCTGAGAAGCAGGAGCTTGCATGTGAGAAGCTTTTGTTCATTGAGACCACACGGATGGGAATGAATCACTTAGCTCTTCCTGATTACTAATGCAAAATGTTTCTGTTGTTGTTAAACAGACTCCTGACACTGAATAGTGTCAGAATAAACTGAAGTTTGCCAAAATGCCGAGGACATTAAATAAGATATTTCAAAGTATATTTGGGACAAGAAGAAAAGCATGAGAAACAAACTACCTGCTTGGAGTAGAGGACACATGGTTAATGGAGGGCAAAAGCAAGTATAGTGCCTCTATTCCTATGCGCTTTCATCTTTATCAGCCAAATACATTAAGGTGGAAGATATGAAAAATGCAAGTTCAGTTTGAAAGAGGGAAGAGAAGCCCTAGATGGTGAGCAGATGGGGAGGAAGCATGTGGCAATTTGGAAGTGCTCAAGTCTACATGAATTGCAGTCCAGGGTTGTAGTATTCATGGCAAACGTGGATGATCATATGCAATACCTTAAATACCTCTAAGTGCCTGATACAGACTCCCTAAGTTTATTCTCACAAAAACCTTGAAGGTGTTGTTCTCTATAATTTTCAGTCAGAAAAACTGAGGCCCAGAGATTGCCCATTAAGGGCTGGGATTTAAGCCCAGACCATATGGTTAGACCTTTTCAGAGAATGTGTGCTCCACTGCCTAGCAGCACTGTGATTGCCTGGAAGCCTGTTAGAGATATGGAAACACAGGCCTATAGAATCAGAATCTATACATTAATAAGGTGATTCTTATGCACATTGCAGTTTGAGAAGCATCATATGGAGCCCAGACATTGACTCTCAAACGTATGCTTTCCTACCTCTATCACACTAAAGACCAAATGCATGTGAGCACAGGACCCTGTGCAGGGGCTTAAGAATCAGTAAGTCTGCAAGGAACAGAAGGAGAGGGGTGATAGACAAACTATGATTTTCAGAAAGATGTTTGAGGCAGGAGAAGTCAAGAGACTAAAAACTAGGATACCTGGTATAAACTCCTGAGAGATTCTGAATTAGAAAGTTCAAAGATCATCGAGAGGAACCAGTGTGGGTTCACTAAGAAACCATCTGTCAACCTGCTTTCTTTCTTGGAGTGACACAAGTATATTAGGAAGAATATCACAGCTATGTGACACACAAACATCAGCATCAAGAATGAAATTTGCTAAAGTCCTTGATGCTGTGCCTGGTGGATAATACAGATACATGAGGAGAAATGGTAGATAAATGAAAAACTATAGGTGAAGGAGGCTAGTTAATGGGAACAAATAAACGAAAAGGTTTTTGAATTTGTTCATTCATTCCAACATGTCTATCATGCACCTTCTATAATCCAGGCACTCTTGTAGGTGTTGAGAACGCAGTCATAAACAAGACAATATCTTGCTATCATGAAACTTAACAACTAAACAAATGAAGATAATTACAGATGTCAAATAAAAATAAAGCCCACATATTATCTCAAGTGGGAAGGTTTGCCTTTCTGAGGTGCTGACATTTAACTAGAGACCTGACCATTAAGATAAAAGCAAGCATGAGGGCATCTGATGGGAAAGCATTCTAGGCCAAGAAACCAGCAAGCCTACAAAGACCTGGAAGTGGGGATGAGCCCAGCATGTTGTGGAAGAGGTAGAAGAGGCAGAAGTGTGAGAGACCAAGTCAGGGTAGTATCCAAGCCCATCGTGAGTCCAAGGGAATTCATAGATTTTAATTTGGAGCATGATATGATCTAATTTGTAGTTTTCAAAGAGCATAGACTAGAAGAAATGGGTTATAATGGAGAAAAGGCAATTATTTTGAGTCAGAAATTTTGATGAAAACTTTTTAGGTATAGGATTTAATGATTAACTTTGTACATATAGATTATCTAAAGTCTTATTATGGTAGATTTTGAATTTATAATGAAATGAGAAGTGCAGAAATAGTGCCCAAAATTAGCAGATAATATGTAAAAGGACATAAGGATTTGAGATTAGATTCACAGCAACAAAAGCCCATAGGTCCAGTATGGATTGAGAGAAACCTGGTTTAATTGAATTTACAGGAAAAAGGCAGATATTACTTAACAAGATGACAATATATTAACATTTTTAAAAATTCTAATATAATTTTGGACTATATGAAAAGACTAAAGATTTCTAAGTTCAAGTATGTTTCAGAATCACATACCACACACACACACACACACACACAAATTTATTGTTTTCTGTAATTGTCCCAGATATCTCTCTAAAGTGAGACCCAGAAATCTACTTTTTAAAAAGGTTTGGTCTATGAGCTACCATCTGAGAAGCACTATCATTGGGTAGCTAGGATAAAAAATAATATTTATACCCATATTCAGAGCTCATAAGTTCATTCTGAAGCTTTGGATTTAGTTTGAAGCCTATTACTATTACAATGACTAAAACGTAGCAAGAATTTCTTAGAGATAATGATGGCAAGTCCCTTTCAGGCAGCAGTCTCAAACCTTTTGGCACCAGGGACTGGTCTTGTGAAAGACAATTTTTCCACAGATAAGAGAGAGGTTTTGTTTTAGTTTCTTCTTTTTATTAGTATATGTTTCCAATACATAATAATTACATTCCCCAACACTAGCATCACTGCCTCAGCTCCACCTCAGATAATCAGGCATTAGGTTCTCATGAGAGGTGCACTATCTAAGTTCTTCAGGCACAGTTCACAGTAGGGTTCAAGCTCCTATGAGAATCTAATGCACTGCTGCTGATCTGAGAGGAGGTGGAGCTCAGGTGGTCATGCAATCCATGCTGAGCCCTGTAAATGCAGAGGAAGCTTTGTTTTTTTCCTGTGGCCCAGTAGCTGCTCTCTTCACTCTATGCAGCCTGTTTCCTAATAGGTTACCCACTGTTGGGGCCCCTGCTTTAACGTACGGTGCATGAGGCATTCTTCATAAAATTCTTTCTTTATTTCTTTTTCTCTTTCTGAAAGGTTCTATTTCTAAACCAATTGAAAACAAATATGGAGGTGGCTTCAGTTTTGCTATTTATATAACTACTTTCTGATGTCTTATTGTATAGAGCTAATTTCAGGCTCAAACTTTTGACATGTTTTCTAGAAATAAACATCCCCTCTCTCTTTTGCAGGAACATAATGTGGAGAAATATTACCCAGCATAAATCTGAGTGCTCACTGTAAAAGGAACATATTGAGGAATCAGAATGGCCTCAGTGAGGGAAAAAGATAATAAACAGGAAGCAAGCCATATCAGGTGAATAATGAAGGAATTTGAGATGATTAAGCTGAAAAAGTAACTTTTCAAAAAATGGTGATCTGAGGTGAGAGCAAATCACGTGAGCTTTGTAAAACACAATTAGGGCATTTCAGATGCAGAAGAACTTTGTAATATTATTAGTAACTAAAAATAGAATGAATTACCTCTGGGCAGGGCATTATGCATAGTAGCCCCTTTCCACGGAGTTATCCTAAGAAAGAATTAGAAGAGTTAATACATATGAGGCATTTTGAGAAGTGGCTGGCCACTTAAGTGCTCAACAAACGTGACCTATTGTTAGTATGCTAGTGATGTTGGCACTGTTGAAAACAAAGTTTTCACCTGACATTGCTGTGTGAGACTGCCTGAGAATCACATAAAAAAATCAGATTATTGGTAATTGTATCTATTCTTTAAATTCATAATATATTTTAGAGTAGATTTAGGTTTACAGAAAAAAGGGCAGAAAGTATACAGTTCTGGTCTAGCCCTCGTTCCACAGCCCTGTTTCCCCCGATATTAACATCTGCATTGGTGGAGTGCATTTGTTACAAATGATGAGCCAATAGCAATATGTTATTATTAACTAAAGCTCATAGTTCGCATTAGCGTTCACCCTCTGTGTTGTAGTTTTAAGCTCTGATGAATCCAGAGCCTCATACACTCACCATTATAGCATCACACAGAACAGTTTTACTATCCTAAAAACCCCCTATGTGTCACCCTTCATTTCTTCCTCATTTATTCTCCTAACCTCTGGCAACCACTGATTGTTTTACTGACCCTACAGTATTGCCCTTTCCAGAATGCCATCCGATTGGGATACGGCCTTTTACAATGGCTTCTTTCACTTCGCAGTATGTACTTAAGTTTCCTTCAAGTCTTTTCATAGCTTGAGAGCTCATTTTTTAAAAAATCACTGAATAATCTTCCGTTATAAGGATATAGTTGTCTATTTATCCAGCCATATCTATTCCTGATTGAAATTCACATTAATATGTATATATGCTAGTTCACCATGATGAATGCATTTATTGTGTTTCACAGGCACACACTAATAAAACATCTTGAGAAATTGATGTTAGTCAGTTTGCCCGTCTTTAACAAAAACTTGACTATGGTTTCCTTTTAAGTTTTGCCACAAAATTAAATTCACCTTTGAGGGCATATGTGTAATTATTGTGAGTAGTCAAAGCTACATACTCTAGGCATGGAAGATAACAGTGCTTATTTGGATTAAGTCTGTTCTCATTTTGTCATTACATAGATACAGTTCTCTTTCACCTTTCCTTTTCTTTTTATTCTTATTCTTTCTTTTTTTTAAAATACTGATTATTGAGCCTAGGGCCTTCACACTAAGTGACATCCTCAGCCTCTTTTTTATTCTATTTTAGTCTATTTTTCTATTTTGAGATGAGGTCTTGCTAAGTTAATTTTCCAAGGCAAGTCTGGAACTTTTGATCTTCCTGGCTCAGCCTCCCAGAATACTAGGATTATAAGACTGTGCCACCACACCTGGCTCTATTTTCATTTTCATAGGTATTTGAGATGCATTCAGTTTGTATCTCATTCTATAGATATTTTTGAGCATTTAGTTAATGCCAGTTACTGAATATACATTGAGATATAGCAGCAATAATGACTCCACTGCCTCTCACTGAAAGCTTTAGAGAGGGAGACTCATATGCAATAAATTCAGGACAGACAGCATGAGCAGGAAGCATGACTTCAGCAGTACCAGAGAGGACCCCATGGGGAAGAGTAAGAATCACCCAGAAGAAGGCACCAAAACACCCCTGACAGCAAATGTAAAGCAACAGAAAAATGAGGCAATAGGGGAAATTCAGTATCTGTAGTAGATTAATAAATGCAGATGGAAAAATGGACATGTCTCAATTAGCAGTACTTCTATTGAATACTCACCATGTACAAGCTCTCACCCAAGTTCTTGTCATGCCTTTACTTTCATTGTCACTGTATCCTGTGAAGTAAGGATTTATTATTCTCATTTTTCAGATGAGGATTGAAAGATAGAGAGTTGATGTATTTAGCAGACTGAGCTAGGATCTCGCCCCAGTTTGGTGCTAGGACACATATTCTTATTTGTGATGTCACATTGCCTTTCAAAGACATTATGTCATAAGGAGTTTGATCCTAATGTAACAAGGGGAGACAGGAGAATTTTATGCTATTTTATTTATCTAGCATAGAAAGAATTTTAAAGCAGAAACATAACACGGTCTGCACATATCATGCTTCCATTAAATTTACATCTTTATGTTCTCTGACTTAACTACTATATTCTAAGCCTCATGGATGCAAATTGATATCTTAGCCCTTAATTCAGTTTTGTGATGTATTCAGTAGGTGAACAAAAATATTTAATCAAAATAGAGAAATGCCAGGAACTCACTCTCAACTGAACAAGCTGGCAGTGGGTCCTTTCCTGAGTCTTACATATTCTGTTGAGACTTCCCTGTGTTCCACAATGCTGATGATGGGTCTCTAACCTAGGTTGACATGCTGTTTTGCTAGCTTGATCTGGGTTCCTCAGTGTCCTGACAGTTGTCTGTGGAGCCTCATAACTGAAGCTAAGAAGGCAGTGCACGTGTCAGGCATACTGGACACAGGCACCTTAGAAAGAGACAGGGAATCCACAAGTTACTTTTTCAGAAGGTCCATGGTTTTGTAGAAGCAGGGGGTTTTGGTTTATAGAAAAGATCTGTGGCCTTCAAGAAGATATACTCAAGAACTCAAATTTTTGAAGATACTGTGTAGTGCCTTAGCAATTTGAAGAAGTTTGTTGATAGAATTACTATTTTGTGAAAGGGGCCCCAAAATATAAAAACATGCAAACTAAATGCAAAGTAATCCGTTGTGGTTGTACTCTCGGCACATTGAGGGCAAATATGAAAAAAAAGTTCTTGCAATCTAGTAGGAAAAATGGACAGAAGAGATAACAAGAGAGATATTTATAGAGTGCTATGGGGCGTAACAGAGAGGAACGGTACTTGTGCGATTCTGGGAGTTTGCGAGAGGTTTTCTGGAAAAGATAATGCTGTAGATGTGCATTAGAAGATGAGTCAGATGTAATTAGCCTGTGAAGAAGGGTAGCATGAATGCTTCTCACTGCAGGACCCGCAGAGGATGGGGCTAGAAGCACAGGTGGGGAATTAAAAGGGTATTCGAAGGGCATGGAGGGAAAGAGAGAGCTATTGGGAGGTAACCATAGAGATGGAACCCACAGAGCGTTTGGATAATTAGTGTCATGTTTAGTTCTCGAAATGATGAGGAGTTTTAAAAGACTTTAAGCATTTTAGATAATCAAGTTGCCGTGTCCACACAGTGATTCAGGAAGGAGCCAGAGGGGTCGGCGATAAGCAAATCAGGATGATTCTGGGAACTTGTATTATGGATAAGAGTAGGGGTGAAAGGAAAGACATACATTTGAATATAAAATTACCCAATTTGGTCATAGATGGCATGTGTGCGAGTGTGGCAGACTTGGAAAACTAAAAGGCGAGCATTTCTGGTAGCTGTTAAAGTGTGTTACCAGTAATAAAGCTAGAAAACTAAAGAGAAAAGCAAGTTAAGGCTAAGATGTTGAGTTCTATCTTGTGCATATTGTTTGAGGTTTCCGTTTTACTTTCAGGTTGAGAAGTCCAGGCTGAGGCTTAGTAGAGAGTATGAGTTTTTCTATTTATGGTGTGTATAGCTATGGAAATCAGTAGTCTACTAGTGATAGCTGAATTCATGAGCGTGGGAAGGTTACGCAGGGACACTGGGAAGAGGCCCGGTGAAATCAGCTCACCAGTGGATGTCTGGTGTCAAGTTAGGGCAAAGTCATGTTAACTTCAAGATAGCTGGCTCTGGATAGTGCAGATCATCATAACACACTTCCTGCTCAGGGGTTCAGGAAATTCATTTTGGGAAATAGCAAGGTGCTTAAGCAGCTTTCTTATTACTTAAGGAAACTCATGAGCTGTCTTTCTCAGAGACGAGGGATTCACACTCCCACAAAATATTTACCTTTTATTCATCCTTATCATTTTGAAATTACAAATAGGTAACAATGAATATACAAGAGCACACCTTCTCTTGATGGTAAATAATTTGTTGCAGACAGGACTGACACATTTGCCCATAGTCAGAAACTTCCAAACCTCTCCAGACCTGAGCAAGAGGAAGAATTTTCCAGGATCCAAGGAGCTGCTTCTGTTGCTTTTCTGCAGGCCTTAGTAAAGTACAAGCTATCCCAAAGGCCACTGAGCAAATGCCATTGAGTCTTTGGGGTGGCCCAGGCCTGCAGAAGCATCGCTTGGGAGACATCAGAGTCCCCAAGCTTGTCCACACAGGACAGCTTGCGAGAGTTCCTGAGGAAACTGAGATTACGGAAGAAAATATCATCTGATAGCACGCAGGTTTGTCTTTCCCACCCCCTATGCCTTTTGGTACTAAGCAGATGGTGCTATGGCACTTGTTAGAAGCTTGGGCCTAATTCAAGAGCATATCTTTGCTTTCACGAAAGCTGCTGAATCTGAGGGACCCGGAGAGAATTAATATATCGCAATGTTCCTCTAACATCTTTTCCCTGTGTGATACATCCATTCTCACCTGCTGCTTTCATACTGTACCCGTTTTATCCCTCTATTTCATACTGAAAGCCTGCTGTACTGGAATACAGCCTCTGTCATTCTTAACAGGCTGCATACACCATCAGAGTTTGGCAAGTGACAGAGACCTTCCAGTGAAAATCTTTTCCCAGGACTTTTTTTCCTCCAAATGCTCCAGGCCAGCAGGGGTTAACTAGAATCCTATCCATGAGTCTATCTCTGGGAAGCTGACTTGCTTCTACTTGTCCCTCTTGGAACTTCTGCAGCCTATTTCAACACCTTTTTGTGTTGGGCAAGGGAGCTGTGGAACAACTGTCCCAGCCATTGTTAGTTACAAAGTCAGACCAAAGCAACAATTAGATAGTTATATTAAAAAGCATCCTTTAATTAATAATTCCCCTTCCTCCCAATCCTATCTTCTCCAAACCCATTTATAGCTCTCTCCTGTCCTTAATTCAAGTGTCTGGAAGGATGTTAGGTGGGAGGCAGGACTCCATTCCTGGCTAGAGCTGCTGAGTTCTACCACTACGGGCCACACTTTTAAAACATCTTAATAGCCCAGTTCAGAGACTCGTCACTAGGCAGAAACTCAGCCTAGCAACTTCACAGGTCACAAGGTCTTTGGGCCTTGTTAGTCTAGATTGAGAGATGGGAAGAAAGAGCTTGACAGCTAGATAGACAGCTAAATAAAATGGTGGCTAATTTCCGGTGTCAATTTGGCTAACCTACAGTTCCCAGATCTTTGCTCAAACATTATTATGGATGATCTTGTGAAGGTCCTTTTCATATGAGGTTAACATTTGAATTTGGTAGACTTTTAGTAAAGCAGCTTAACTTCCATAATGTGGTTAAGACACACTGGATCAGTTGAAGTTCTGACGAGGATAAATTCTGACCTCTTCCAAGTAAGAAGGAATTCTGTCAGTGGGCTGCCTTTGGTCTGGAACTGCAGCTCTTCCCCAAGTCTCCAGCCTCCTCCAGACTCACCCACTAGATTCGGGACTCTCCAAGTTTCTGAACAAGCCAATCCCTTAAAATTCTCTTTGTGGTGGATTAACTAACTGTCAGTTTGTAATGCCCAGCTGAACTGAGTCAGCGTGGTGCTAGGTGTGAAGGGCCCCCCTGAGGATTGTTGCCAAAAACATAAAAGGAAACTGGAGGGGAAGATGGTGTACTGTTGGTTCTCCTGGAGAAGCTTGTTGAGCTGGCTTTCCTAGTTGGAACTCAGCTGTTCTCATTGTTGGAGGAGCTCAGGTTCTTGCTGCCCCTAAGGATGGCTGTGCTTCCCTTGACAGAAACTCTTGTCCTTACCTTGGATGTCACTTCCTGGCTCCAGTGCAGTCCCCTCAGCCCGCTGGCACAAATTCTTCATCTTGCTGACACAGACTTTCTAGCTTCCAACACTGACCTCTGGGCCTTCCCCATACAAATCCTTGATATAGGCTTGCATGAGACTTTGTTGTGGGCCCTAGGCCTCCAGCTGAACTCGTGGAGGACACCACCCTGGGCTCTAGGTCTTCAGCTGGACTCGTGCAGGACATTGCTATGGGATCCAGGCCCTAAGCTGGATTCTTTGGGTCTCTAATGTGCAGACAGATCTCCTGCACTCTTTTGCATTTGACTCTTTGAGTAAATATTATAAAATAATCCTATAAATTATGTGTTCCTTGTAAATATATTCCCTTGTAAACCCTGACTACAACAGGTCACAGATTCTTTGCTCTCTCCATCTCTCTCCTACTCATCTCTGTGTCTCCATTTCTGTGTGTATATTTATCTGTCTATATTAGTCAGAGTTCTCCAAAAAACCAGAACCAACAGGATGTGTGTGGGTACATACATATATACACGCACATTTGATTGTTTAAACATTTCATGACTTAAACAAGTCTGTTTTCTGTCCAGTTCTTCTGAGAACATAGTTGAGTACTTGGACTGTTCCAGTCTGGCAGTGTAGGATGTGAGGCCTTTTTCACTCTTCAAAGGAAATCACCTCCTTGCCTTCCTGTGACACAGTTGCCTCACTTTAACTAACCCCTTGCCTTTTTCACATTTTTGCCTCTACATATCTGTTTGAATAATTGTTACTCATCCACTGGACCCTTCACAGGGTGCTGGTTATAAATAGCGCTCATCATCACCCCATCACCACAGCTGGTAATGAAGAGAAATGTGTCAGGTAATGAGAGCGGCCGCCATTACAGTAATGAAGAAAAATGGGGAGAGAGGCCCAGGAATGGCGCCTTCACTATTTCCTGGTGTAACTGGCATGAGGTAATTGCTTTTTATAAAAAAAAATCCTGCCCTGCTTTCGTCTTTACAAACCACTTCCAAATTCCTTACATTCATCACAAAATAGAAAATTGAACTAGCATGATAAATTAAAAAGACAAAAGAGCTCAGGTGGGTGATGCTAGTCTTAAAAGAAAAAAATGGTTGTAGAATTAATAAAAAGGATAATAGTTTGAAGGGTCATTCTTTCTCTGCGGTTATTTTTGTCATAGGCCTCCTAGCAACTTTGTGTAAAGGGAGACTACAGAGGAATAGGTCTGAATATGCTCTAGGCACCTATGCCAGTCACCACTACACTGGAATACTCTCTGCTTATATACAAGAGAACTGAAACTGGCCTACTTTCTCTCTTCCTGCTGGTAACCTCCATCTAAGGGCAGCACAGAAATTACATTTGTATTTATAATGTTATTGTACCAAAATAAGCCTTGTTAGGACAATCTTTATAAAGCATGATGTTTTTCTGAGTTTTCCATGGTTAGCGCTATACTCTAGTTAGAACTATTCCAGGTACAGTTCCCTAGAAAGAGTTGAAAACTTGGAATTTTATAAAAATCATTACTAGATTTAGGGATAATGACAGAGTCCAAACTGTGGAAAGAAATGTGTGTAATTACTATAGTTAGTTATCTGTTCCTGCTTTAGCATTACATATGTCTACAGATTATTTTGCTCCTTTCCTTCCCTGTTCCTTGGATGTGGCTGGATTTAGAGATTTGCTTTCAGTGAATAGTTTACAGCAGAAGGTGACATTACTTTTATACTAGGTTATAAAAAGACTGCTGTGGAAGTGAAAACAACCTAAGTGTCCATCGACAGGTGAGCCGATAAGCAACACAAGGTAAATACCTGTAATGGAATGTTGTTTAACCTTAAATAAGAATGATGTTCTGATACATATCATAACATGGACAAAACTTGAATCATTATGCTGCGGGAAACAAGCCAGATATGAAATGACTATCGGTGCCTCTCCATGCAAAGTGTTAGCATAGGCAAATTCATAAAGGTGGGAAATAGAAATTATCAGGGATCAGGAGTCAAATGGATGGACAGCTATTGTTGAACGGATACAGAACTTTCTATCGGGGATGATTAAAGGTCTGGAAACGAATCAAAGTGACATTGCACAACAGTGTGAGTGTGCTTAATGCCAGTGAATGTACACTTAATAGTGCTTTTAATCATAAATTTTATGTACATCTTATCTCAGTTTAAAAGATTACCTCCCTCTCAAAAAAAAAACCAAAACAAAACAAAACAAAAAACCTGTAGCTTCTGCTCTGTCTCTCCTTTTCTCTTTCTGTTACCTGAACCAATCACTTTTGAAGATCGAAATTACGCTGTGTTGGGGCCCCCCAGCAGCTGTGTGGAGAGGCCCTCTTAACCAGAGACAAACCTTCCCCAGACAACACCAGCGAGAACTGCGGACTCCATTAACCACGTGTGAGCCTTCTGGAAGCAGATTCTCCAGGTGCTTATACATCTTCAAGGGGCATATCTCGTCCTCCTGACTGACATTTGACATTTGACGGTAGCCTCCTAGGAAATCCCAAGCCACAGCAACCTCAGTACAGGACATCCAGATTTGGGAACCTCAGAAACCATGAGAAAAATGACTGTCTATTGTTTTAAGCAGTGGAATCTTGGAGTAATCAGTTACACAGCAACATACAGAAAATACAAATATATAACACAAATTCACAATTGTATTGAACAATATAAATTCACCATAATGTTAGATGATAATATTTATGTAAAATGAACTTTTCCCTTGTACAAAACAATTGGGGGGATGTTAGCTACTGAGGTTAAGAAAACATGTCTGTGCTTGAGCCTATTTGTCTTATTCCCTACATCCATTTAGTTCTGTAAAATATGGGCATCTCTTCTTAGCTTCTGCTGGACCCCCTTCCCACATTTGTCTGTGTAGGAGTGGATATTTTATACAACTGCAGAATATTATTGCTTTCGCTGAGGTAATTCAAAATTCCTATGGCAAATGGAGAAGCTGCATTTCAACTATTTACTGAGAGTTCTGATTCATATGTGGTGATGGCAAAAACTTACACTAAATACGGGCTCCACAAACTAACCCCATTACCTGATTCTTTCTTTTTCTCCTTCTCCTTTTTTGTCATCACCTTCCTAAATGCTGTATTTAGTCATAGTTGAGTCAGTTTGCATACGGCTATGGAGCTTATAACTATAATAATAATAACTATAACCAGAAAATAGTTATAATAACTATAACCAGAAAAATTCTTTACGACCTACCATTGTGTGCTATAGACTGCAGTGTTTGGGAGGTGAGGCCTGGGAATCTCATTGACTTGAGGAGTGTTACCTATCTGACCTTTCTAGGAAACATTCAGCTATGGAAGAAAGATCCAAGCAATTGCAAAATAACTGAGTCAAGGTGATAAGTCATGAGGCAAATGGGAGGAGCAAGGGAAGAGATGTTAACAGAGGACAATCTGTGCAATAAAGTTGACCAAAGTAGACAAGACGTGCATGCTTTTCTCTGGAGATACCCATGCCATCATTTTGTAAGCGCTGAATGCTAAGCATTACAGGGCATTTCTTGGACTGTTGGGGTTAGATTCCTAAAGGAGTGAAATTAGGTACAATATCAGAAGATCTTGGTATCCCAGGGCTTCCTATGTTGCATTATTAAGTGTTTCACTTTTTCTCCCCTGTGACTACCTCATGCTCATGAGAAAGCCTTTGTATGTTGTCATCCTGCTTTCTTTAAGGATTTACAAAGCAGCAGGGGCAGCGGGTAGGTAAGGCCATTTCCTGTCCTCTACTATCACCAGGTGACCACATAATCTTAGTACGACTGGAATCCCTGCTGTGTCATCAGTAAGAGGGGTTTGCTTCTGCCAAGATTGTATCCAAGTCTGTATTGGAGCAAATGAGCCTTTGAAATTTCTTCCAACTCTCAAAGCTACAATTCTGTGGATTGAGTCTTAATGCCCCCAGGTCCTCCCTAAGACATCCATAGGGAGCATCCTAGCATAGCCACCCAAGACAGATCACTATTTCCATCTCCACGTCACACATTCTCCAGCCCAGAGCAGAAGCCTGCTCTTGAAACTTAGTTTGTACCCTGAAAGCTAAAGAAATATGAATGGGTTTATTACCAAAGAAGTTTTTACCTTACAGGAAGGGAGCACTCCAAGGGGTAAAAACCTGGCTGAATATTCCATCTAATCAGGATGGCAGGCCTAGAAACTACCTAGGGCAACAATGACATTTGCATAAAACTTGATCCTGAGTACACACAGGGATAGCGTGAAGCTAAGAAGAAAGAATTTCCAGAGGCTGACCCATATGACTTTTATCCTTGGGGCTGCCTCTGATGGCAAATGAGGCTGCTGGCGCTCAGAACATCTTCCGGAAAGTGAAACAGCAAGTAACTGCTTTTTTAAAAAAAAGACTTTCCATTTCTCATCAAATGCAACAAGTCTTGAAGGAGAGTTCTCAACCAGTTGTGTGGGTGGATCATAAAGGCTGCTTCAGACTGCTCTGGGGATTGATAGCTTCCCAGGAGAGGAAGGGAACAATTTGTGGCCAGCTTCCCACCCGCATCTTTGATCTGAAATCTTCAGAAAGAAGGAAAAGCACCTTCTCTTGACCAAAAAACTGGGCATCCCTGCTGCAATGTATTACTGTACCTTTAAGGCTTCCATGGAAATGAAAGCTATGTCAAATCTATTAAGGGAGCAGGTGAGACAATTCCCTCATAAAAACTGGAGAATAACAGAAGAGAAACTTTGCTGGAAAAAAAAATGAATATCTTTCTGTTTGTTCGATTGAACTGTTTCACATTCATTTATGGCGTGTTAGGGAGAAATAATTTAGTTGATGTGTGAGAATAGCTAATTACTAGAAGGAAGAAACTTCAAAGATGGAGCCCCTGTAGCTCACACATGGTGTGAACCTCCCCTCCTTCGTTCCCATGGCCCCTCCCATCCCCTTCCTTAGGCAATTTTGTTTCTACCCTCTCAGCTCCTAGAGAATCATCAGGAAGCTGAGGTCCAATAGAACCAGCCTGAAAGATATTTTATTGTTCTCCATAGCCCCCAAATATATCATGTTACTAGAATTAGGTCCATAGTTGGGGTATGGGGAGGAGCTGAATAAACCTTTCTTCAAGTTATAAAGTATTTTTACATTAATACGATGTCTATCATTTGCTAATCTCCTGAAATCTGGGAGGATTTGTTGGACATTTAAAAACTCCTTTAGAGACCCTCACAAAATCATTGAAAGGTGGGGACAGTGATTCCTAAATCCAAGATCTCTGCCTTGTCTTTGATGTTTGCTGGACTCTGGCAGGGCTTGATCATGTAGTCAAAGGAGAAATATTCAGCCATTTTTGTTTTGGCTGACCTTTTACAGATGCAAAAGGTAATTTTGTCTGAATTCTCCTTTTCAGGATGGGACAGTAACAGCTGAGCAGGGAATTTACCCAACATTCTGTGAAGTTTATACTCAACTGCCATTGTCAGATTGGCATTTTATATTAAGTGAATACAGAATTGTTACTGAGACAACACACTGCTACACCTTCAAGATCTGGAACTAATAATTTTTGCTGCACCTCTAGAATCTGGATGACTATAGAAGTCTGGTATTCTTAAAAAAAATCCATTCCAGACCCAGAGATATTGTAGTGGACTGGTCTGTGACCAGATTACCTCCATTTGAGGGTTCATTCACTCCACTACTCAGTTACAAATGCTGTGACATTAAGGGACAGTAGATTACACAGTTAGGGAGACAGGTTTTAGAGACAGATTGTATAGACTGGAAACTTATTCCCTTCATTTACTTGTAGGATGATCTTAGGGAATTTTTTTTAGACTTGGGGCCTCTGTTACCTCATATATAGAACAGGAATAATAATGAAATTTATCTGCAAGGGTGGAAAATAAGCATATGGAGTTTAAATGCTTTCGACAATGCACACTACGTAGTAGATGTGCAGTAATTATGTTAGTTATAGTTGATGCTGTTCTTCCTCCCAAAAATTTTTGGACATTGGCCAAAGCCTCCTAAAATCAATAAATAAAGTGGGCTGAACAAGAAGGATTCTGGGGGAAAATGTTGAATCTGGCAGAACTGGGAACTGGGCAGCACAGATGGACTCTTTGGTACTCTGCACTTCACTCTTTCCTGTCACTGTCCAACTCCTCCCTGAAAGCGGCCCCCAAGCTCCCAGTTTTTACTCTGCTCTTTCTTACACCAACCCTCTTCAATCAAGTTTTACCCATAATATTCTCATTTCTCATTCCCTCAGGATTTTGTCATTCTTGGGTGACAATTGTAAAAAATAAAATTTGTTTTAAGGTATTAACAAATGCTGGAAATTTAATGTTATAATTTTGAGATATGATATATGTTTAACACACTAGAGATTTCCTTGTTACCAGGAAGAGTAACCGAAACTGAGAACTTCAGGTAATACACAGGGAAGGTAGGGATGATAGTTTAAGGCAGGTAGACCATTTGTCTTTAGTTGAATCACAACTAAACTGCTATCTGGTAAACCATAGAACAGGTCCCTCAGTTAAGTGTTTAAATAAGGGCCTATAGACAGATTTGGGGGGTAAAGCAGAACACTGAGCTTAAGCACAGTGTTATTATGTTGACAGACAGGACATCAAAGCCCTAGCGTTATTGGCCCTGCAGTACCCAGGGCTGCTGTCAACAAGTCATGACAAATTGGACAGGCCAAATCTCTCAGTCACATCTGGTTTTCCAGAAGACACAGATAAACCTTCTGAAGATGCTTCAAGTAGAAGAAAGCCACAACTGCAGAGCAGAGCTAACATGTGGACAGAAAACAGCAAAGGCTTAGCATGAATGGTGGTGTCCATTTTTACAACTCTGGGATAGGCATCATTCTGAACTCAGAAAAGAGGTCAAGGAGAAGGGGTTTAGAATTCTAGATCTCTCTATGCTACTAATTGATTTATTTCACTTTAAGCATCATTACACTTTATCTTTGAGGGTCCTGCTTGCTAAACTAGGGCAGAAGTGCCCAAGAACATGACCTCTTCATATTCCCCAAGTCAGAGTTTCCAATGGGGCTTTGGGGGAGCCCCTTAATGGCCCAAAGAGCAATTTAAATGCCACCCCAATTGAAGGTAAAGCAGTTTCCTAGTCAAAAGAAGTTGAGAGAAGATTTAAAGATAGAGATTAATCTGGGGGAAGGGAAAATAACAGGATAAAGCAAAGAGTAGAAAGAATGGATACAAGATTAGGAGCTAAAAGGCTTTGATAGTAAAAGAACAGTTAAGTAATATGGGATAGAAAAGTCATGGTCAGCACTGGCTGTACCTTAAAGAGACGTTTCAAAATACATGTGTCCAGGCTTTGTCCCAGAGCATTAACATGGACATTTCTGGGTCTGCACTCTAAGTTTCAGTATATTTTAAAAGTTCCTCACATCTTTTGAATGTTCATCTTCTGGTAAAACCACAAATAATAGATTAGGCTGCTTTTCAACAAAGAAAAGTAAGAGTTGTTCTAAGAAACTTCTGAAGATAATCTAAGAAGATTGCCAACCAATTCCATCAGGAGAGATAAAGGTCAGGGAAAATTCCTAGACAAATTAGATCTGAAATGAGGAATCCTAAAAGAATGACCAAGTCATAACAGAAATCTTGAAAATTGTGATGGACAAAAAATTTTAGAGGGAAGGTAATGAGTTTGCGTTAAAGCGGACATGAGGATGTTGGAATGATTTCATCTCTTCACAGTACTCAAAGTAATGGGAGGATCCACATCGACTCTAACCAGAAAATACAACTTTAAACAGTCTTACTCATTAGTCCTGATCAGAAGCCCAGCTGAAACAAAATGACAATAAAGATGGACTGAGAAGATGTCTTGTGTTCCTTCTGGTTGTTGTTTTAGTGGCCATTCAGCTTCTCTGAAGGGGTGTGTCATAAATATTTTGTATATTTATGAATGTTAAGAACTCAATTTCAAAAAAACCCATCCCCCCTCCTGTTTCACCCCTCCACCTATTCCTGCTGCTGCCCTGCACTCTTCAATAAATGTACTACAAAAAAAAAAAACAAAACCCAAACAAGCCATTAGAAACTTACCTATTGAGTTTTATGGACTCTAGTTTAAAAAGCCCTTCTTTTTAGCTAGGGAGTAAAAAGAACCAAGCCAAAGTTTCTCTTGTCATTCTTATGTTTATTGTTTTTGTTGTTACTTTGGGGAGAACCGCAGCCAGAAGAGAAATATGAAAAAGCAGTAAGCTTAGTTGTAAAAAAGATGCGTTACCATATACGCACAGCTTTTCTCACAAAGATGCTACTGTTGAGTCTCAAGAGGGGTTGTCATTTTTCCTAAATGCTTTGGAGCCTTTCATGTCTTCTTGTTCTTTGTTTTCTTCTGTTAAAGTGCTAATGTGGTGTGTGCACCTGTCCTTAAATCATCCTGGCACCCACAAGAAAACATACCAGCTCCTGATAACCATCTGCATTTTTAATAATATCTGCATTTTCTGCAAATAGAATTTCAGTGTCTAAGCTATTTGATTTGGAAAATGAAACAGCATTTGTCAATGCTAATAGAAAAAGGCAGCCTGATTTCCAAGGCTCTGTTTTAATTTGGATTTTACCATCTACTGATTTTATTGAAAGTGAAATCCATATACCCAGTTAGCTTTAGCACCTCAACTCTAAGATAGGAAAATCGCAGCTTCGGTATCAGAGCTGAGAATGAGGTCCTGGCATTTTTTTCAAAAGAAATTTGGATATATTTACTTTTTGGTAAATGATCCTGAGTTACTCACACCATATGTCTACACATAAACAAACAGGTTTAGAAAACCTGGTAGAGTTCAACAAGATGAATAGGTGTTTGTAAAGTAACTTGGGCTTCCTTATGTGATTCTCATCAACATGGGCCATGTTTTCTCTGAGGTAGTAAAGGAAGGAGGGATGTCAAGGTCGTGGCCAAGAAGAGGTCCATGTGCCTGTGTTTTCCATAGATGCATGAAGAAGTTACGCAACTAGAGATCAGGAAAACAGACTCCGACTGGGTCTGTGAGAAGCATCTCCATTAGACCATGGGAGGAAGATAAAGAGGAGGTATTTGTGTCCTGGCGGTCTCAGTCCCACTTACTTAAAAGTAAAGTAAACATTAGAAGTCTGTCAAGCCTGCAGGCTGCCCAGGTGACAAGTGAGTTGAACCTCAAAGCATGTCAAGCAGTACATTTAATATACCTGCTGAATTATAAAATCCTGGGAAGTAGCCCACTGTGGACTTTTGCGCAAAGAAAAGAAAGGTTTATAAGACTAGAGGTAACACTGATTCATAATTCACCTGAAATAACTATCCTCACATTGACAGAAGAGAACTTCATTCACATGAGAATACTCTCTAGGGGAATTTTATGTTCTCATGTCCTCACGTGCTTGCCCATATTAATAATCCACCGGGACACAAATCTATCAGCAGCAATAGCCTGCAGTTGAACCTCAGCTTTTGGACAGCAATCCAAAGCTCACACTGACTAGCACTGAAGGGAGCCAATGTTAATGTTTTTGTGTCTGGAAGCTGAACAGGAGGACTCACCTTGACTCAATCAGTCTGCTGCTGACCTCAACAGTTCTTCAATCTGGAACTTCCAAACTGAGTCATGAGACCATGCCTTTATCACTGCTTCTGCTGCTTCTGTCTGCATAACATCTTCATGCATATCTGCATGCTTCTAGACTCTTGTCCAATCTGGGCCGCTCTAGTGGTTGAACAGACGGTACAGAGGTGGCCCAACCTATGGAAAGAGGAGACAGGAGAAGTCACAGACAGCAACAATCTTTCACACACAGCAAAGCAAGATCTTGAGAGAGTTGCAAAATCTAGATGCATAAATGATCTCCTAGTTGATAGCATCATATTTAAAACAATATCACAAAGATAATAAAAGCTAATAATTCAATGATATTCTAAAAGTATTCACTTAATCTGTATAACAGCCCCATAAATATGGATATACTGTTATTATTCCCATGTTGAGGAATCAAAGCCAAGCACAGTGCCTCATACCTGTAATCCCAGCACTCTGGGAGGCTGAAGCAAGAGGATCACAAGTTCAAGCCCATGCTAAGCACTTTAAAAACTTAGCAAGACCGTGTCTCAAAATAACAATGGACTGAGTATGTAGCTCAGTGTGAAATCCCTCGGTTCAATCCCAGCACAGAAAAAAACAAATGACACCAAGAGTTAAGTAACCTGCATCCATTGCCTAGGATAATGTATAGCACTTTAAAAGTAGAGCTGGAAGACACCTTTGAAGTGGCAGTGAAATACCTGCTCTCATTTGAGCAGGAGATGGAAATAATTTTTCTGAAAGTTCCCACTCTGAGATGCCTAAAATTACAGGGTCCAAAAGAAAGACCTCCCGGAATATTTCACTTGAACATGGGAATGGCTCAGAAGTAATACTGGAGTCTTTGCTGAGACTCTCCTATAGTAATGAATCATCTAGAGTCTGGGTCAGCCCATGTCTTTGGTTGCCCTTCAGAACACCAGTCTTGCTGTGGTTGTTCTAAGGAGATGGAGGAAGGAGGTAAAAGTAGAGTTCCTGAAACCAAATAGATGTGGATTGAAAACCAGCCACACTGTGAACTGACCAAGGAAGATTCCCTTAACCTCCCTATTTCTTGTTTTGTTCTAATTGTAAAATGGAGGTGATAGTATTTAACTAATAGATTAAATACAATGAAAATGATCTTCAATATACCTTAGTTCAGCTGGGCATGGGGTACATGCCTGTGATCCCAGCACTCTGGAAGGCTGAGGCAGGAGGATCACAAATTCAAGCCTGCCCTAGGCAAATTGGTGATTTAAGCAGATTTTGCCTAGAAAAAATGAAAAATGAGCTGGGGATATTGCTCAGTGTGAAAGCCTTGGGTTCCATCTCCAGTATATAAGTATTAGTTCTCTTATCCTGTGTTCTCTTTCCTTTCCTTCTTGAATTCCAACCAGGAATTGCCATACCTTCTCCTGGTCAATGAGTATTATGTTTATTTTGTACAAACTCAAGGCGGAAAATGTCTTTATTTTGTAGAAACCTAGAAATTCCCAGTAAGTGGGAGGCTAAGTTGAAGACATTTCAGTTCTCTTTGTTTTACGTTCTCTTCCCCTGCTCCACCCTCACCTTGACAACACAGGCACTGTTCCCTTGGGATTTGCAAGATATAAGTGGATTCAAGAAAAGCTGTGGTAGTGCAGAGTTTCCCCCAGTGCAGAATTCATTTCAGGATGGTAAGTGTTTTTCACAAATAGCTAACAATCGAATGCCCACAAAGTACCAGCTATTGGTCCCCATATTCCACACAAGTTTATCCACTTAATCCTCACAGTGTCATGATGTGAGTCATTTGTATTCAGGACAAGAAATCTGAGGCACAGATTAGTTAAGTAGGCTGGCCAGGGTCACACATTTAAAAGTACAAGTACCAAGATTTGAACCTTGCAAACTTTGTTTTGGAATACAAGCTATCTATCCTTTCAATAGCTCATTCACCTCCTTCTCCAAAGAGCCTGCCCTACAGAAAACCCAGGGAAGATGGACAAACACAGATTAGGAGAAAAGGAATCATGACGAGCACTTGAAAGAGGTATTGAGTTTGTGTCACTGAAATCTGATGCTGTTTTCAAATATTCATAGGAGAAGCACTAATGTTTTATATATGGGTAGGTAACAGCCTCGTCAACATTGTTTTTCTAAGTAATGGTGCCAGAAAGCCAAGTAAGAGGCCCGAAAAAGGAGTTTGCATTTGCTACCATTTCCCAGCACTGACATTCCTTGACCGGAAACAATCTCAAGGTTTCCAAGGATGGCCAGACTTTCAAACCTGCTTTCTTGGAGGGCAGAAGTATTTCCATTTCAAGGAGGTAAAGTGGACTTTTTCCTTGCTGAGGGTTTGATAATGTTTCTTAACTGGACGTACCTACATTTCTTCTTCCTCAACTGGACTTCTAGAATTATACTTTTTTTCAGAAAATAAAAAGAAAAGAAAAGACCATTGATACAAGTTACTTCCTCCGCTTTGAGTAGTAATGAACAAGGAGAGGTCAAGTCCTCTGCATTGGTTTTCAGACATATCTAGAAGCCAGTGGAGGATTCCACATCCAGTTCCCCGCCTCTGCTGTTGGTCCCCCTGCCACTCAACCACATGTGTTTCTTTCTCTTACACACAGGCTCTTTTTGGCCACCAGTAAACACACTGACCTTTGAAATATGGGAAGAAAAGCGCTTTGAAATAAAACTGGCACAAACAGCGGTCAGACAGCCATCATCTGGAGGTCGAAACAAAGAGGAGCATAGTTTTCAAGCTGTCTTCATAATTACGCCAAGCAGTTATCACTCAGGCCCCAGTCTGAGCGTTCCCCCTCAAACAAACAGCGGAGGTCTGCAAAGCACATAGGCCGCTTTGTCGCTGCAGCATATGGGAGTGCAAGGCCCCCAGCTAAAAATCACATGTGGCTGGGAGACTTTTCCAGAGCTGCAGGCTCTTTCCTTTCTTCTTTCCCTATTAAACCCCTGTGCTCTTCTTGGCAAAGGCCTCCAGGTGAGGTAAGTGCCAATTAACAACAAAGAGTTTGGTGTATTTCAAGTTTATGGCTTGGAGCTGGGTGCTCGTGAAATATATTCTTCTCCTCTGGTTTTGGAACTTCCGTAGTTAGACAGCGAGGGTTCTAAGTATAATGGAGATCTCCTTCATTGTTGCTACTGCCCTACAAATGATTTCCTATTTTTCTTTTCCTTTCTTTCTTTTTTTTTTTTTTTTCAAATTGAAAGCAATGTAAGCAAACTCAGAAATGGACAAAAACAATCCTAAAAACTTTAGCTGC